TGTGTGTGTGTGTGTGTGTGTGTGTGTGTGTGTGTGTGTGTGTGTGTAGAGGAATGTCTGTAAGTGGCAAAATGCTGACTAGGAGTTAGAAAGAGCTTCTTGGAGGAATGAGCACTTGAGAGGAGCCTTGAGGCATGACATAACAGTGACATCATTTTAAGGACAGTAAAATGGAGCCATCACCAACATTGTGCCTTACAGAGCTCACCCCCATCCATCTCTAAGCTCATCTGATATATAAAGAAAAGAAGGAGGAGGAGGAGGAGGAGGAGGAGGAGGAGGAGGAGGAGGAGGAGGAGGAGGAGGAAAGCCTCAGACCAGTTTTACAAAGGCTGTCACCCTCACCTCCACAAGCAGGAACAGCATGTTCTAGCAAGTCCCAAGGGCTTAGGGTGGGCATCTGGATGGAGCAGACTATGGAGGAGGGCCTGAAGGGTAGGACCACGCCACTGCCATTATTCAGTGATGGACAGGCACACACAGGGGCTTTGACAGGATCAGACCAGAGCCAATGGAGCCACACATAACAGATCTGGCTGAGAGGATAGGAGTTAATAAGGCCATCACAGAGGCGAGAGACTGCTGCTGGGGAAAGTGAGAAGGTGTGTGGAAACATGCAAGCACCTGCCTATGTGTCAGGGACAGAGGACTGTGTATGTGTGAGGAAGGGGCTGTGCACGACAGTGTGAGTGTACTTGTGTGAGTCAGGAGCCCACCTGTGGAGGAAGAGGGTCTTCCTGATGGATGACAGAGGTGAGGTAGGCAGGCAAGGAGAGGGACAGGTCAAATCATTAGGTCTGCCTGAGAAGGAGTGGGTAAAAAACCATGGCTCCAAACTCTACAGGGTTGTGAGAAACCTGTAGGGCCTGCCATATTGAAGGGACTTGGCATTTGTTAAAAGGGTCAATGAGTGAAACCTAGGGCTGGCTTTGCTCTTGAATTGTGGGCAACGGGCCGTTGGGGGACGAGGCGAGGGGGTGTTCATTACAAAGTCAAACAGAACTCCTTGGTCTCATCTCTGGCCCTTTCTACCCAAACCATGGTTTTTGGCTCAGCAGAGGCATTCCCACAATCCCAACCTGTTCCCTGGAACCCAGACCTCTTCTTCCCCGCCCCCTCTCACCCCAGCCAGACATCTTTGTGGCAAAAGTTTTCCTATGTTGTTTCCAAGCTGGCTTCATGTTTCTCAGGTCAGAGTTCCTCTCCAGTGCCTTTTTAAAACAGAGAAATGCTGCTAAACCAACTCCAAGCCTCTGTCTAGGCCAGAGATGTTCAGCTTCTTGTCAAGGACAAAGATCCCAGATATGGTATTCCTGACCCCTCTAAACTGTCCAGTGGTTTTCAGAGACCCACTAAATGCTGGTCCCGGTCTCATACTCTGCAGAGGTGTCCCTTTAGGCTCCTGAAGCCTTTCAGTTCCCATGTGTGTCCTAGCAGAACAGACAGGTAACTCTTGTCCAGGAAGTCCCTCCCCCAGTTAGCCCATGAAAAGCATAGCCGTCCTTGGCCTCTCAGCCGTTGCCTTGCCAGTGGTGAAAGAGGATCTTTGTCCAGAATGGCCAGACAGCCCCTTTCCAACTCAGTTTAGCCTCCCCCCCAACCCCCACGTTACCTATAGCGACAAGAGATCTTTTTCAAGATTGTAAAATCCACACACATTCAGAGGAAAGATGTGGCTTGGAAATCATGACTAAATCCCCTACGGACAGATGCGGAAACAAATGTCTAAGACCTTGGAGGCCTCGGGTTACTTGAGAACAGACCAAGCCCTTTTTAGGTTGCACCAAGAGACCTGTGGTGTGTCCAATAGGATATTTATGGAATAAATGCATTTGTGCTTGGGAAGCAAAGCTCTTGGGCTGAGATGGGCCAGGGAGCTAGAACCTGGCTTTTTGTGGACCCCAGGCTCTGTCTCCTGTGAGCTGTGCCTTCCCAGAGTACTCTAGGAAGGGCAGATGGGCAATTTGTTAGATGGTGATCCTGCTGAGGTTGAAGAGTGTGTGCTCTAATTAATGGTGGGGATCTAGGTGGGCAGATTTCCCAAAGGTTGTTGAGGGCGGGAAATCCTTGCCACATTTTCCAACTTCACTCTCCAAGAAGACATAATAGGGCAGATGCCTCCGTCGTCCACACCTACAAGGGGACTGTCACTTTGGAAGGGACATCCCAATTTTCAAAGGATTGATAGCCACCAAGGAAAGAAGGTGAGAGGTATAGACCCAACAGTGATCCAAAGTCTTGTCTAAGACATTAGGCCTCAACCACTAGTGGTTGTGGGGCTTTGCCTCAGTTTCCCCACACATGTCCTGACCTGTTTCTTTCTGAGGCTATGAACTGTCTCCTTCCTCACTCTCCCATTCCCAGATGTTAACACACGGTAGCTGCTTAAACCCATTCAATAGCTGAACAAAATGGGTTCTCCATCAGTCCAAATGTCAAATGGCACCTGGAGGAAAACTCTTCCCTCAAGTTCCCCACATCTGAGGACAAGTCCTGAAAGTGTCCTGGCAATTCAGCTGCCCTTGGCAGTGCAGCTTACTCTCCCAGGTGCATAGAAATGACTGGATGGTGGGAAGCAGGAAAATGGGGCTGGGGGAGAGAGACCTGAGCTCCACACAGCAGCTGAGTACCCTCCCCCTCTCCTCTCTGCTCCCTGATTCTTCTTCCTGCCCTCAGTGCTCTCCGTAACAGGTTCCCTCCCCTCCCAGGACTTCCTCTGGTCAGCAAGGACCATCCAGGTCAGGGAAGGAAGAACATAGATTTAAATCCTGGTTTGTGCCCAGCCTGGAGTCTCACATTTGACACAGGGGCCCCTCTACTAAGGAGGTCTGGGAGATTTTCTTTTGCCTTATCCTGAAAGGTCCCTGGAAGATGTCAGAGATTCCCTTCTGAGCTTCTTCCTCATACTAAGTATCCAGAATAAGGCTGAACAGGAAGGAAACCGCCCTCTTCTCTGCTTAGCCTTGTCCAGCCTGGTGTGTGTGTGTGTGTGTGTGTGTGTGTGTGTGTGTGTGTGTATGAGTGTGTGTGTCTGTGTGTGCATCTGTGAGTGTGATATGGGTGCATGTGTGTGTGTGTGTGTGTGTGTTATTAAAGCGATGGTTTGTGTTACAAGTAGAGTTTGTGTGTGTACACAGGAGTGAGGGTTAAGTGTGAGCGGTATGCATGTGATATGGTTAGTGTGTGGGTGGGGCGCATGTAGTATGTGAATGCTATGTGATGTGTGCGTGGTGCAGTTGGTGTATATGTGGTGTGTAGTGTGTGATGTGTTTGATGTTTACGTGGTGTGAGGTGCGTTTTGTGTCTTTGGTATTTACGTGCTGTGGTTTCATGAGGCGTACTTGGTGTACGTGTGATATAAATACATATGATATTATGTGCGTGGATTATGGACTGTGTGGGGTGATAGGCGTGTGAGGCTATGACGATATATACTGTGTATAGTGTGTGTGCATTTGTGTTTGTGGTGCTTGTGATGATGGGGTAGGAAAAGGACCAGGCAGTTTAAAATGGGAGCCAGACATAGGGTGTCCTCCCTTAAAAAACAAGGGTAACCAGTATCTAAGCAACCATATTGGGGGGATGGGAGGCAATCGGAGGTGAGGAATGGGCAGAATAAGGAGGGAGGTTGAAGTGGAGGGGTTTCCATGGCAACCATGAGATAGGTCACGTGCAAAAGGCCAAGTTGGAAAACAGATACACACATTCATACATCTACAATATGAGAGCTGCCAGAACCCCAGAGCCAGAGGTCCTTTCATAGAGGGCTGAAATGACCACTGGTCTCTCGACAAAGGTGTAAATCCCAGTTCCAATAGGGCGGGAAGCCAGGTTAGACAAAGGGAATAAAGACAGAGGACACATCTCTGGGGCCAAGCTTCCAGCTGCCACAACCCCTTGGTCTGGAGGTTGGTGGCAGTTTGGGTGGGCCCTATTTCCCACCTGACTGCCCAGGAGCAGGCGCCCAGAAACCCAGGCGCTCAGCCAACTCTACAGGAAAGCCCTGTGCAGACACAAAGGGGAGGCTCCGCCAAGGCCAGGCCTGCTAGGGAAAGGTGGAGATGGGGTACCAGTGGTCCTGCAAAGAAAATCGGACTGGACAGACCAAGAGAAGGTCACGCTGGCAAATGAACCCCCTCACTCTAGAACCCCAATGCATTCTTCAAGGGCCCCTCTTCACTCCCGCAGCCCACGCCCACAGCTCACAGCACCACGCCAGCAAATTCCATTTTGTGTGGCTCATTCCTGGGTCCTCACATCTCCACTCCCCAGCTTCCGAGTAACAAAGGGACGCTCCCCTGTTATAGGGTCCTTTCCCCTTCTCCTGGAGCTCCTGATGCAATCTCAGAGCAGCCTTGAAAGCATTTCCCAGCCACCAGCATCGCCCACCGCCATTGCCTGCAACCCCATCCCGGGTTAGCCTCTGGATGCTCACCTCGTTGTTTACATCCCCAAAGCCATTTCCCGCCGCCCAGGCAGGGACCTGGGCACACACCCACTGAAACAAACAAGACTTGGAGGAACCTGGCGCTAGAGGGACAAGTCCCCATCCGAGCTCCCTCCATTCGGAAGAAGGCGCCAACTTTGCCCACCTCCCCTGTTACTCACCTAGGCGTTGGATCCCCTCCGAGCGGATCCCAGGAGGACAAGCAGAGTCCTAGCAGCCGGGAGTGGCGCGCTGGGGGCAGGGCGGTGGGCGCGGCTTGCGGCTTTCCCGCCTCCCGTAGGGGGCTGACGGCTGGGTTCCCGGGTCGCCCGCGCGTCCGCCGGCTTCTCCGTCTGGTCCCCTCGCGGCAGACCCCTGTGCTGTCGCCCGCGCCCTCCTCTCCGCGAGCTCTTCGCAAAGGGAAGTGAGGCTTGAAGAAGCAACAGGAGACGCGCGCGGAGGAGGCGCCCAGCGCCCGAGCGGATTTGCCAGCAGCTGTTGCTTTTTGATTTTCTTCCTTTGGCGGGGATAGGAAGCGAGCCAGATCAACACTGTGACGGGGCTAGTGTCTTTTTTGAAATAGTAAATTCAGGGGAGGAAGTCACAAAAAATAGGAAACCTGCGTTCTTTGAGTGTGATGGCAATTAGCATGAATGGGAGCCAGAGGTGGGTGGAGTTGTCGTTTTCAAATAGAGCTGGTGGGCTGTGGGGACCAAGCCCTCACCTGAAGCAGGGTTTTGCTGCCCAGAAGCCCGTTTTCAAGACACCCCAGCCCAAACCCTGACTCTGTCAGATGGCTGTAAGAGCAGCTCTCTCGAGCCTAGTCACTAGGAGTCAAAATTCGCGATGACAAATGAATTTGCAGATTTACATCCTAGCCCTGCAGTCTTCCCTGTAGCGTCACTTTGAACACTCACAAATGAGTCTTCCTTTTTCTCACCTAGGAAAGAGGAGGTGAGAATAACCCCCAGCAAGTGTTGACTGACTGACTCTGAGTAATGAGGGCAGCTCTTGAAAGAATGAACAGAGATCAGCTCCCCCATTAGGTTGGTAGCCAGGCCCCCCCCCCCCCCCCCGTTCTGAGGAAGGCTCTCATAGCCAGGGCTGAAGGGTTGAGGCCAGCAGCCATCATGGTCATCGTCATAGGTCTGAACACAAGGCTTTCCTGACAACCTCCAAACCCTGAAATGTTGGGCACTGCTAGGAAGAGCCCATCCCTGCCTCTCTGGCACCCCAGCCCCAGGCCAGTTTCTCATTTGTAACAATAAAATAAAATAATAACATAAAATGAGGGGGATCAGTGGATCTCTGAGTTTGAGGTCAGCCTGGTCTACAGAATGAGTTCCAGGACAGCCAGAGATACGTAGAAAAATCTTGTCTCTCAAAACCAAAAGGAATCAAAAAAAAAAAAAAAAAAGAGGAAAACTTGATGATTCTGTGGCCTTTTAACTTGACTGAATCACTTTAATAAATGGTTGGATCTCAAAAGCCAACCCAAGAAATAGGATGTCAAGGAGGCAGAGAAGCCATCAATGGCTACCAGGAAGGAACTGGGTTACATGCTTAAGGGGGAGTCTGTGGGGGATAGTTTGACTCCTTGAGCATAAGACCTTGGACTGAAAGGACTCCATCCTGGCCTAGTTTCAAAGGCACTAGGTGAAAACACTTTCATCAAAGTCTGGTTTGATCCAGGTGGCTTCAGACAACTGCCTGACCCTCTGTCCCCAACTTTCTCCCTGTAAGCTGTGGACTATAACCTCCTGGCCCTTTCCACTTGCTCTGGGTGAGAGAGATGAAGCCACATCACTTATCAGTCCCGTGTCCTGGTCAAGAAGCTCAGTCCTCCCTCCTGCCCTTGAGTCCTGGACATTTGCCTACCTCTAAGTTCTAAGTTGTCTGTTGGAGCCACTCCTTGTAAGCAGATGCCCGGCTCAGGCGTTGCAGGCCTGTTTGGGAAAGGACAGGCCAATGGGTCAGAACTTCTAAGGTTAACTACCTGTTAGTTCAGACTGTTTCCTGCCAGCGTGTGTGGCCAAGCTACTTCCTGGCCTGTGCCTGCTGCTGCTGGCAGTCCTAGCCATGGAGGATAATGGGAGTCAAATCTGTGAGGATTGCCCAGCGCTTGCCTCTCAAACAACACTTCCTGTTTATCCAGGTGGAATACGGGGGTTAGTGCTGCAGAACAACACATAGCCTTCCTCTGGGAGAGTCCCATCTTCCTTCTAGGGGGCAAAGAAACACATCTGGTTCCTGTGTGAAACATATCCAGGGCTTAAAAGCTGCCCCACTCTTTCAAACACTCGGTTGCCAGGAGTGCCTCTTCCCTGAGCCCTGGGTCAAGCTCCTTAGATACAACAGAAAGAAGAAAGACATGAAACCTTATAGATAATGGCTGAAATGGATATTTATCAGTCAATTCCATGATTCAGAGCCCTAAGCATGTAACATTTGCAAAGCAAGCTGGAGAGCTGGGAAGTGCTAAGGAGATGAGGGGAAGGAAACAAGAATGGAGGTGTCAAGCAGGGTTGGGAAATGATTCCAACTCTAGAACAGAAGCATTGTGTGTAAAGGCCCTGAGGCAGAGTGCATGGTGTGAGAGTTTCTCCTGGTGTGGCAGTGAGCAGAGGAGACCAGCTAGGGAATGCCACAGCTGCCAGGCCAAGCAGCTGGGCAGTCCCCGGGCATTTCCAGCTTTTGTCTTCAGGACAATGGAAAGCCACTGAGGGCGTATGAAAATCGCCATGAACAAGAATTAGGAGACAGTGGCTCAGAGAGTTCCTGAGGAATCCACAGTCAGGGTTTAGAAGGCTGTAGAAAGTACGAAGAAATGAGCTGGGATCCTTGCTAAGAATTGCTTCTCTAGAAGCCTGAGGAAAAGAGGCAGCGGAGGCAAGCCTGCACACCAGTCAGGTAAGAAAGAACAGAATGGTTTCTAAACAGCACGGATGAAGGAGTGCGTGTCTCTCACACACAGAAAACACCAAGACAGACATGTGGTGAGGGGAGCCAGTGCCTGAGAGTGCCCAGATCTATAGCCATGGGAAGACCCCATGTCAGGCTTGTCAGGATGGTGCACTGCTGAGTGGGTCACAGGAAGCTCACTCTAAGCCATGCAACTAACCCCAGTCCTAAGAGCTGTTGCCCAGGTCTATGCACTATGGCTGAAGTAGACCTTCCAGAGTCAATGAGAAGGCTGCCTTGTCCAAGGGGCAATTAAAACAGTCTGGGATAACCAGAATTCTCATTACCCAGACCTCTTATCCTGTACCTCTCCAAATGAGATCAAGAAGTCACTTTGTGTGGATCTCTTCCTGGGGAACTGACTACAGAGAGGGAGAAGCCCCCACACCAGCTGCTGCTGGGCACCCATATATCACCTTCCTCATACCCTTTCATCCCTCCCAGAGGAGGGCAGCTCCCGGATTCCGTGCTCACTCCAAACCAGCCCTTCATCCTCCTCCCTAACCTTTCCCACAGCCCTGTAGGCTCCTCTCCCACGAAACTGTGTCAGGCCCTTTGTCTCCTTATGTAATTTCCAAGCAATCTAATCAACAGCCATGTTTTTGGCAGTCACTCAGGCTTAGTCCCCTTCTCCTGACAAGGAACCCAGGTATCCAGCAACCCAGTATGTTAGTCAGCATACCCCCACCCCATAACACATACTAAAGCTAAGACAGCTTATGAAGAGAAAAAGGACTATTTGGCTCCCAGCTTTGGAGGGTTCGGTTTGTGGTGAGTCGGCCTCATTGGTCTGAGCCTGTGCTGAAGCAGAACATCATGTGGGTAATATTCGGTGCATGGTAGGGGAGAGCCTCTCTCCTCCTGGTATCTGAGGTAAAGGAAAAGGAGGAAGAAGATAAGGTAAAGGATGACTAGGAAAGGTGTGGGATTTACGGGTACCTGGGGTTCTCACTTGATCCTTCAAGGACCCTCAGTGGACTTAAGACTCTCACTAGGCTGATTCTCTTAAAGATTCTCCCACCTTCCAGTAGTGCCATGGGCTGGAGATCAAGCCTTTAACTTGTGGGTCTCTGTGGGACATTCCATATGCAAGCTACAAGCCATCTCTCTAAATACACTACATGTCTCGTCGTTTCAACAGCACAGCCCTCAACTCACCTCCTCATCCAGAAAAATGCATGCTGCCCTCATCCCCTCCTCAGTTCTTCCTCAGGCTGTACGCCCTCTTGCAGCCATTGCTTCTGTCAGTCAGGCCTTCATGACACCGGCCTCCTACTGCTGGCTCTGCCTCAGTCTCCCCACCTCTACCTCTATTGATGCCTGTTTGGTAGACAAAATGCTATGACAAAATGCCTGAGGGGTGTGTTTGGCTCACAGACCGAGGGTACAGTCCCTCACAGCGGGGAAGGCATGGCAGCAGGCATGAGGCAGCTGTGTGATCATATCCACAGTCAGGAAGCAAAGAGAGTTATATGTTGGCACATGGTCACAATACAGACCCCAGCCGGTGGGATTCAGGGTGAATCTTCCCTGGTTTGTTAAATCTTTCTGGGAACAGCCTCACAGGTACACCCAGAGGTAATGTCTCCATGGCCACTCTGGACCTAGCCAAGTTGACCTGAAAGTAAACCATCACAGTGTATCTCATTTCCACAGTTCCTGTAAGTTTGAGGTCTAAGTTCCAAACATCACACTTACTGTTTCTAGCCCTCTGCTGCTGTTATTATATCCCCTGAATCCCTCTATCACCCTTGTCAACCCCCATAGAGGTGGATGTTGAACTCCAACCCGAGAGTTCACAGTTTCCATATTCACTGCCTGCATGACTTTCCCCATTTGAAACACCCTCATACAAGACTCCTACCGATCTCTCAGAGTTAAGTCAAATACTGTCTTGTGGGAATGAAGGCTCTAATCCTTGCTTGTGTTGCGCCTCTACTGTAACCGTTCGTAGATCATGTTCAAAGCTTCATGTTCAAAGGCGTATGCTGACTGCCCTAATGAACCTTAGTCCACTCATAGTGTGTTGTGCAGGATGTGCATTGACAACTCTCCCAATTGAAATAATTGCAACCATTGACTCGCGGAATGAGCTCTTTTTATCTTCATCTTGGACACCTTCCTTGCTGTCTCTTCAGCCGATGACTGCGAAGCTCGCCAAAGGTCCTTACCAGAGGCCATCAAAGCCTTTTTTGGGCTGGTACCCTGAGCACTGTACCCTCAGCCTGGACCACATTTATGCCATGTATCAGTTAATAAAGCCTTGCCCTTAGTTCGAGAGGGTTAATTCAGGCAAGAAAATAGCACTTTTCCAGGCAAGCAACATGGATGAGATTTTTTTGTTTTTTTTTTGTTTTTTTTTCTGAGTGGAAAAAACACCCCTATCCCACTGGAGGGTCGAGTGCTGCCTGATTAACTTAAACTTGCTTGTAAGTGTGAAATATAACTCCTAGGTGCTGATTGCTAAGATCTCTAATTAGGAGCACACATATTTCCAGAGAGCAGGGCTGGCTATTCAAATGAAAACCTACAGCCACTCTCTCCAAAGCCTTTTCACTCTGCAAATCTGCAGCCATTTGTCTTCCTCTGCATGCAAATTGAAGCAACAAGGAACAATGTTGCCCTTTGGAGATAATGACTCTGGAAATCCAAGACATAATGGCTCTCTAGTCAAGACCGGAATACCTTCATATTCCTGCTCTCCCATGCACAGAGAAACAGCCTGTGAACACGCGCAGGCTCCTGAACTCCCGCCTCACCCAGAGTGTCTGGAGCCAGCGTTCATGGGGAGATGCACCTGTTTGTCAACGTCTAC